GCCCATGTGCGTATCCCCACCGTATGGGGGAGCACGGCCTCGACCCATCCGCGAATCCCAGCTAACAGAGCCGGCGGAGATTTTTCGGCTACAAAATTGACACGAGTTAATGCTTACGAGCACAAGACGTAAGGAGGGGTAAAAAAAAGAGGATTCAATGGCAAAGGAACTTACGTGCATGATTCCAAGCCTCTGGGAATCCAGTAGAGCACGCCACTAAATGTTCAGTCCTGATGTAGAAGAAGCGCTCTAAAGGGCGAGGTTCAACCTCATCATCCAGCTTTGCAGTCAGGCCCCTCGTCCCGCGAGGGCACGCTCGAATCATGGTACCACGAACCCTCTGGGGAGCGTAGAGGCTAAGCACATGCTGCAGCGTGATCTCCCTACCAGCCAATTCTGCGTATTTGATGAGCATTGCTAACAACTTGTAAGAGAAGGAGTAAGCTGACCCGGGCATACCCCGTAATAACGACAGAAATCAACCACCAGCATTGGGAGCGGGAGCTTAAACCCCAACTTGAAGGGGTAGGCGTAAAAGATGCAGTATCCCCTACGGTCGGTGTGAACCCTCTCCTCGCTTCTAGCGAGAATGACGTCAGCATAGCCGGGGATGACCCCCTGTCCCCATAGTCGGGACATCCCAATCTCCCCCATTAATGGGGCTTCATCCACCTGATCCTCCCCACCATCGGCGGTGAAATCAGTCATCGGACCTCCGGGCAGAGGTACTATCTCGTCAACCGACGGAGCTTCACCGGTCTCCACCAGTTCTGCATCGCCCATTGCCGGAAATGGTCCCTCGGTCACCGGTGAGTTAACCGGAAGATCCGTCGAAAGAACGTTTTGGGAAGAAATGCCTGCCATTGATGATACAATAACGAGAAAGAAACAAGGTTTGGGGGACGAAGACGAAGGTGAAACAGCAGTAAGAAAAGCTTCTTCAGAATCTCTCTCAGACAAGCAATAAGAATATGAAAAATGAATGCCTCAGCCTTTATTTATAGGCAACGCAAGTGGCCTTCATGCACCCCAACAGCCACCATTAACTACATGACCAACCGCACACAGGTTCGATTCCATAGGAATGTGCGTCGTTACGACAGGCTCCATAAAGCAGCCTTGCAATCACCCATCGGCGTCTCGCCCTCGAAATGGTTATAACGACCTATGAATGCCGAGAAGATGCTCCTTGCGCCCTAGAAATTTTTTGACATCGCCAAACACGTATCAAGCGTGCCCTCACTCCCCTCGGCCGCGCAACATACGACCCGTCCGCCATGGTCGACGGGTATGCACCCAAAACAAACGCAAGGACAGAGCACAATGAAGCTCGACCTCACTCGAGGTGAGTTAAACGGTCAAGCGCCTTCGCCAAGGAGGAGAGTTCGACCTCGATCGAACGATGACTTGATAGCACAATAACAATATACTAATACTCTACAAGGCTAAGGGCCATCGCCAAAGAGAATTCGGCCTCGACCGAAGCAACAGTCGACCTCCCTATCCGAGTTTCTCAAATTACAGTCGATGGAGTCCGCTCATCGAGCTCGGCCAAGGCCCGGCCTCAATAAGCGGAGGGACTAACTGTATGGGTCAGAATTCGACCTTACGATAATTAACGAAGCCAATCTCGTCTTAAGCTAATTTATGATCAATTAGTGGTACGACCACTCAGAATTAACGATATTCAACCTGCATCTGATTCGATCAGCAAGGCCATGGCCCATCCGCCACCATGAAGGCGAAATCCCAACGTGGTCACGGCCACTTATTGCCAGCTCACGAAGTTCACAGCTATAAATACCAAGAGAGGGAACCCTAGAATGGGGGGCTTCTTCTTCACCACTAAAGGGAGAGAGACAATTGTCAACGATACCCAAATTATGGGCAAGAGGAACACCATTGTAAGGCTCTGAACCTCTTCATGGAGAGGCAGACCAAACCAATATTATCAATAAAGGCTTCTAATGTTTCTCCCCCTAATCCTGAGTACTTATCTTCGTTTCTTTCATTTGGTCCAACGGATTATTACGGTTTGCTATGATTTTCCCGTGATTTATTCGTATTGTTTTATACTCATAAGGTATTAATAACTTTTGAGCAAACACTACACCTAATCTGTCACATAAAATGAAACTTAAGGAGATAAATACCTTATTTATGTCAATGACCAAATAGATCACTTATTTTATTAAAAGTGTGTCACATGCATACGTCATACTGACATGGCAAAATACTGCTTTTCCCTCAAATGTGGGCATTGAGGTGTTAAAATTATGTTTGTTTTTCATTTTGTTAATTAACATCACTCCAACATTGTCTATACTGAAATTAATTATGTTGGCTAAATTTTGTTATGTTCGGATTAGTTATTCTAGTATTATCTTATTGACTTTTTGTATGTTGTATTAATTCAGAATTATTAATTTTATGATAATTTATGAGTGATATTAAAATTTGTAACGAAAATAAATAACTTTAATTGTCATACTTTTATATAAGAAATAGTCTTAATTTATTGATTTTGTGAGTTTTAATTTAGAAAGAGTTTAATTCTAGTTAATTATAATTTTTAACGGCTCTCTCATATATTTGCCAAAATATGTGCCAGGTTTGATCCTGTGATATATGTACGGGAGAAATTTAAAAATAGCCAAATTTATAAGTGGTCATTCAAAAATAGTCACAGTTTCAAAAATAATCGAAATTTAGCCACTTTTCATGTAAAATAAATCTGAACGAAAACACTGTTCAAAATTCAGAAAAATACTGCAGCATAATATACTGGAGTTATATTGGAACTCCGGACTAATATAATGGAATTCCGGTATAATATACCGATCCAGCATGCATAATATACTGGAATATACCGGTCCAGCAAATTATACTGGTGCACCAACTACAGTATATTATTATGCTGGACCGGCCTTTGTTGCAGCCAAACAGTAACTTATTTTTAATGACTTCCCAAACGGCTATTTTAACTAGTGTACCAGGAGACAATCTGTGTCAGGTAGTGTCAAATTTTTTCTACTTATTCGATTCCTTGTGGTATTAATACATGTATGTAGTAAAAAATTCGAAGCAATTCCTGAACGTGCTCATATGGATTTCATAGGAATGCAAAGGTTCTTCAAGAACCCCAATTTCTCCGAAGCTAGGGTTTTTCTACTACAAGGTAATGCAATTCTATTACTTCCTCTTCAATTATGGAGTTCAAATGATGTTATTAAGTGTATTTGGGTAATGCAAATGTGATTAGAACATAGTATTAGATGTAAACCAAAAAATGGATCTTGTGAAAGATATGATGAATAATAACTTAAAGCTAAGGAATAATTCCGGTAATTGTTTAATAGCTCTAATGGATCGTGAATACCATGTTTGAGGTAATAAAAGGACTTTAATTATGGGAGTAATCGGGCACCGATTTTGCGATTTGCTGTAAAAATTTCAAAACTTCATTTTTGGTCCTTAGAAAGCTGGGTTGAAGGAATTTTGGTGTATAAGGATTCTTGTTGATAAACTCTTTGTCCATGATTACAAAAAATGAGAACTAGTACAAGCATAACTAATGCAAATAATGCTAAAAAAAGGGCAACCCGGTGCACAAAGTATTCCGCATTCACGCAGGGTCCGAGGAAGGGCCGCATCCCAAGCGGGGGTGTGATGTAGGCAGCCTACATCATGTTATCCTTAATCCTCAATTAAATTTACTATGAGGGTGTCTTCTGAGAAGTAAGCTTGGTGAATGACCTTCTATTAGGGATTTCTATTTGCAACTTATCTAAAGATTAAAAATTATTGACTTATTTAGTTATTTTAGCCTCTCTATTCCTTTTGGAATTTCACCAAATAGATTGTTCTTCATGAGATATCCAGAAACTCCAAGCTTATCATCAATAGCTAACCAAATGATTTCCAGATTGGACCTTTCAATCTGTTATTTGCTAACCAATTCGTAGCGAAAGCTGGTTTCTTGAAAGATCTAATTAAAAAATTTGATGACCCTCTAACTTCCAAACTCTAATGTACCAGCAAAAACACTTGAAGACATGTATAAATATAAAAAGAAGTTTTCAAATGATTTCATGAACTTGATGGCGATATCGATGTGAAGGGGAGCCTTGGAAGCAACAGTAAAGTTGTTTCCTATGACCTACAGGTCACAGGTTTGATCCGATGTTTGCATCAGGGTAGGCTGCCTACGTCACATCTTCTTGGCACCCTTTCGTAAATGCGGGATACTTGTGCACTGGGCTGCCTTTTTTTTTATTATGGTGATATTGATGTCAATTTGTTTGAATCTAGCAATAGACTTCCACGGTTATAGGGCATCACATTTTGTGGAGATTAGAGGCTCACAATTGATGCAGGAAGAAAGCCATTTAAACTGATATATGAATGTAGTACCCAATATCTCCAAATCTTTGAAATCTTCCCAATTATAAGGAAGTAATGATAATTTCTTGATCAAGAATCACTGTACAGGTTGTATTCGGTTCCTTCTCTATAAGTAGCAGATTTTGTTCAATAATTATGGGTTCAAAGTCCTTTTTAGTTACTTAACTATCAATTTATTACTTTAATCAGTTCTAGTGCATACAATGAAGTTCCTAATTAAATAGTAATAGCTACTATAAGTTATTGGATGTTAACATGGCTGAAGAGGAGGTGAAGATGCTTTTTCATGTGTTAGCATTTATTACCAGATCTTGAACGTCTTTTCAATCTTTTTTTTTCCTAACATGAAACTTGCATAACGAAGTTGATAATTAATGCTTGTATTATATTCTTAATTAGTTTCAATAATGTAGAACTGTTAGCATTAATATCTTCTCAATAGTAATAATTTAATCAGTTTCAATAAAGATAGATCATATATTGCTGCAAAGATCCAACCAACAAATGCATTTCCCTTCATAGACTCAATGGAGAAAACATTCTTGTTAGCATTTTTATTGATATCTCTTCACATTATAGCAACTTCATGCTTAGCCATGAATATAAGCACAGATCAATCTTCTCTTCTTGCCTTGAAATCCCACATAACTTCAGACCCTTATCACATTCTCTCAACAAACTGGTCTTCTAATTCTACCTCAATTTGTAACTGGATTGGAATCACTTGTGGCTCGCGCCATCAACGAGTTACTGTGCTGAATATTTCAGGCATGGGCTTGACTGGTACCTTCCCACCACAACTTGGCAACCTTTCTTTTCTTGTTTCACTTGATCTAAGCTACAACAATTTCCAAGGTGAACTTCCACCAGAGTTCACTCGTTTGCGAAGATTAAGAGCCATTGATCTTAGTTTTAACTTCTTGTCTGGTCAAATTCCTCAGTTATTGGGTGATTTAGAAGATCTTCGGATGCTCTCTCTGGAAAACAATAGTTTCAGTGGGTTTATTCCTTCTTCTATCTCTAAGATGAAGAATCTTGAATTCTTGAATTTGAAGTACAACAATCTGGAAGGAAATATTCCTATAGAAATAGCAACTCTTCAGAGATTGAAACAGTTTTCCTTGGGATACAATAAACTCAATGGATCCAATGTGCTTTCCATGTCCAATATCTCAAGTACACTAGAAATTTTGGATCTCAGAAATGCTGGTTTAATTGGTGATTTCCCTTCTGATTTATGTCGTCGCCTTCCCAGATTACAAAGGCTTGGACTTAGCTCCAACATGTTAAGCGGAGAGCTACCAAGAAGCATATCTGAATGCTCAGAACTTCAAGTCCTATTGTTGTTTCAAAATAACATTGTTGGAACAATTCCAAGAGAAGTAGGTAACTTACTGCTGCTGCAATATTTGGATCTTGGACAAAACAGGTTAGAAGGTAAGTGTTGTTACCATTTTTCTTGGGAGTTCAACTTATATAGTTAGACCTCTCTATATAACAGCCATTCACTATAAAAGCCAAATTTTTCTCTGAACCAATTTTTATTTTATGTTACAATATACGTCCTCTATAACAGCACTTCACTATAATAGTTAAAAAATATCAGAACAAATGAGGTTGTTATAGAGAGGTTTGACAGTATACACTAACAATATAAACAATTTTATAACCTGTTTGGCCAAGCTTCTTAGCTTGGAGACTGTAGCTAATTTTGTTAATTTTTCAAATAAATGCTTATTTTAGAAAGTTGAGGTGTTTGGTTAAACTTTATAAATTTTGCATTTATATTAATTAAAAATTATAATATTCTTTGCAATTTTATAATCTTTCATTCATAGTGGACACTTAAAATTGTTTATCTAATTAAATACTATTAATCGTAAAGGTCGAACTGTTCGCACAAGAAAATAAAATCAGTACAAGCAACTCATGGATTAATCACCTCATTCCATGAGGTCAAGTTCGAATTGGTCTATTATGACAACCAATATGTTGCTTAACTCTATGGATATATAAAAAGTCTAATATATTTACAACAACAACAACAACAACAACAACAACAACAACAACCCAGTGTAATCCCACAAGTGGGGTCTGGGGGTTAGTGTGTACGCAGACCTTACCCCTACCCCGGGGTAGAGAGGTTGTTTCCGAATAGAAGCTCGGCACAAAAAGATGAAATGCGACAATAGAAAACAACAAGGTCTAATATATTTATATGTATCAAATTTTCTCTTTCTTTGATGTATTAAATTATTTTAAGACATTTGAAAATTTTATTTAGTTAATCTAATGAATGAGGATTTATCAGTATCAAGAACTCAATTTAACCAACAAACGATTGAAATTTAATCATTAAATTTAGCTTTGTCTGAAGTAGTACTAGCTTTAAAATTCCATTTCAAGAACAATGTTTAGTAAAATATGTAAGAATTACTATACTTATTATTTGAAGAGATATTAATATATTTTCACTTATGTTGGCCAACTGCTAATATAGTATTATTATATATGGTTTTGTTTGATTTTCCATGAGTGTTATTGTATAGAAGTTAAATTAAGTATATGATTTTGTTTAAGTGATATTTATGTTTAAAAATTTGACAGGCACAATTCCAAATGAGATTGGTCATCTTCATAACTTGAAGGAATTGACGATTGAACAAAATGCATTAACAGGCTCAATCCCTGAAACCATATTCAACATTTCATCACTTGAAGTTTTATCAATGTGGAACAACCAGCTTGAAGGACCTCTGCCAAAAAAAGTTGGAAATTTGTCTATGCTTAACATACTTGATCTTGCAAATAATACCTTGACAGGTATGGAAAAATATTTAAACCACGTCCATTTAAGATTTTTAGTTTTTTGGATACTTCTGCTTATAAAAGGGCAAAAGGAACAGCGCGGTGCACAAAGCACCCGCGTCATGCAGGGTCCGGGGAAAGGACGCACCCCAAGGGGGTGTGATGTAGGCACCGTACCTTGATGCAAGCATCAAAGACTGATTCTACGCCTTGAACCCGTGACCTATAGGACACACGGAGACAACTTGACCGTTGCTCCTAGGCTCCCCTTTCTGCTTATCCTAATATTTATTTTGTTGCAGGTGTAATTCCAGATGAAGTTGGTAATCTTCAAGAGTTGGTTGGCCTTACATTGTATCTCAATAACTTTAGTGGATCTATCCCTATTGGTATCTTCAATATCTCAACCCTTAGAGCTATTTCAATCACAAATAACCACATTTCAGGTAAAATTCCTTCCACTATAGGCAAAGGGTTACCTAATGTTGAAGGAATTTATCTATTTGAAAACAACATTAATGGTGTTTTACCTAGTTCCATCTCAAATTTGTCCAAGCTTGCTGTTCTCGAACTCGGTGGAAATGAACTTACGGGTTCAATTCCTGAGTCTTTAGGAAATTTAAGACAACTTGTAAGTCTCAACTTGTATGGTAACTCCTTCAAAAGTGACTTGAGCTTTATTACGCCTTTGGCCAATTCAAAACACTTGTATAGATTAATATTGTCTTTCAATCCCCTAAATACAATGCTTCCGAAATCCATTGGCAATCTTTCTTCTCTTCAAATGTTTGAGGCAATAGGTTGTAACCTCATGGGCCATCTTCCAAATGAAATCGGAAAATTGAGAAACTTATCTTCTTTGTTCCTGGAAGATAATGACTTGACTGGCGTTGTCCCAACGGCAATAACTTCTTTGAAAAATCTTCAACGGCTTTCACTTGGTGCAAACAGATTGAGTGGTTCTTTCCCAAATGGTTTGTGTGAGCTATCCAACTTGGGTTTGCTAAACCTTTCACAAAATCAAATGTGGGGAAGTATTCCGAGTTGCTTAGGGAATGTGACTTCTCTGAGGGAGATTTATCTTGATTCCAATAACTTCACTTCTAACATACCTTCAAGTCTATGGAACCTCAAAGATACTTTGAAGTTGAACTTGTCTTCTAATTTCTTCAATGGGTCTCTACCACTAGAAATTGGAAATCTCAAGGATGCAATACTTTTGGATCTTTCCTGGAACCATATCTCAGGCAATATTCCTAGTACAGTGGGAGGTCTACAAAAATTGATTCAATTGTCATTGGCTCATAGCAGAATTGAAGGATCTCTTCCTGCCACTATCGGGAAACTCATAACTTTGGAAGTATTGGATCTTTCATATAACAATATATCTGGTGTGATCCCAAAGTCATTAGAGGCACTTAAGCAACTAGGCTCCTTTAATGTCTCATTCAACAGGTTACACGGGGAAATTCCGAATGGAGGACCGTTTGTTGATCTCCCTTACCTGTCTCTCATGTCGAATGAAGGATTGTGTGGTAACCTTCAAAAGCATGTCCCAGCTTGTCCTTCTAATTCAAAAAATCATCCTAATTCAAAGAAAAGAAGACTGATATGGATTATAGCTGCCTCGTCAGTTATCTCTGTAATAGGGCTTACTTCAGCAATAGTTTTCATGTTGATGAGGCGTCGGGGTAAAACAGTCAATGCTGAAGATGAGTGGTTGCCCGAGGTAGCACCACAAAGAATTTCTTACTACGAACTTCAAAGAGCAATTCAGGGCTTTGATGGAAATACCCTGCTAGGTAGTGGAAGTTTTGGCTCTGTTTATAAAGGGACATTGGCAGATGGAATGATAGTAGCTGTTAAAGTTTTCAATGTGCAGATGGAAGGTACATTTCAAACATTTGATAGAGAATGTGAAATCTTGCGTAATCTTCGTCACAGAAATCTCACTAAGATCATTAGCAGCTGTTGTAACTTGGATTTTAAAGCATTGATACTTGAGTACATGCCAAATGAGAGTTTAGACAAGTTGCTATATTCTCGAGATTATTGTTTAAATATAATGCAAAGATTGAATATCATGGTCGATGTTGCATCTGCTCTGGAATATCTCCATCATGGTTACTCAGTACCGATTATTCACTGTGATCTGAAGCCTAGCAATGTCTTACTTGACAACGACATGGTTGGACACCTGAGTGACTTTGGCATTGCGAAACTTTTAACTAAGGAAGAATCTATTGCTCACACTACAACTTTTGCAACAGTTGGTTACATTGCTCCAGGTGAATTCCTTATTTAACTTTGTAACCATTAAGGTTATGGATTGGTGAGTTATAATTTAATTGCTGACAGTATAGTTTTTCTTTTTAGAGTATGGTTCGGAAGGCCTTATATCCAAGAGGTCTGATGTTTATAGTTATGGTATTATGCTGCTGGAAACTTTTACAAAGAAGAAACCTAATGATGAAATGTTCACTGGAGATTTGAATTTGAGAAGCTGCGTGCATAATTCGCTTCCTGATGAGTTGGATCAAGTCATAGATACTGACTTACTAACATTGGATGAACAAAACTTAAGTCAAAAGCTACAATGTCTGACATCTATCATGGAGTTAGCCATGAATTGCACAGCTAATATTCCAGGTGAAAGGATGAACATGATTGATGTTGTAGCAGCATTGCAAAAGATCAAACAAAAGCTTGCTTCCTATTATTGAACGACCAAACGACGTAACATCAGGTACTTTCCATATTTCTGTGGGAAAAAAAGGCTATAAAAGTTCAGTAGCATTTAACCATCAGTAATTGTTTCCTCCAATGTCATTGCAGGAGATTGTGTGACTATTTGAAGTTAGAAGGATGGAAGCTACAACTTTGTAGAGTATTCTACAAACATCACAGCTATGTTTGTAGAGTTGTCCAGGTGGCCAACATTGTGTCCAAAAATATTAGTAGCATTACATTCCGTAGTTTTTCTACCAAATGTAGTTCCTAAGATGTCTACCCATACTGCATCATTAGCAAACACCGGAGGAACTGCCAAAACCGTTGGTTTGTCAAAAGGCTTCATCTTTGCTCTTCTTTAGCTAGGAGATCTGCCACCCGGTTCTGCTCTACTCTGTAGCTATGGCTGATGACTAGGTTCTCAGTCAAACCATCAATAACCTGCATTCAGAAATAATAGGTTTATAAGGCAAGTGTCCTGATTCCGGCATATAATAAATTCCATTGAATCAGTGTTAATGTGTAGTGGAGTCGAGTTGAGTTCCACTGCAATCTCAAGACCCTGAAACAAAGTATTTAATTCAGCCAGGTTATTCATGAAGCCTACTACCCAATCACCTTTATTCTGAAAAGAGATTAGTTCCTTTAGATACTTTAGAAACAAAGTATCTAAAGTCACGATTAGTTCCTTCGTTTGGTATGCGGACTAAATTACCTCGGGATTATATAATCCCTGGA